AGCTCCCACCTGGTCCCAAGGAGGGACTGTCTGAGTTGGGGGGCAGGAAATGGGACATGGGGCCTGATCTCTGTCTGTCTCTCTCTGCAGGTTGCCATCAAACACATAGCGAAGAACAAAGTCGCGCACTGGTCCAAGCTGGTACGTTTTGTGGGGAGGGGTGTGAGGCAGTGATTGGATGCGGGGGGGGGGGGGAGGGGGAGGGGATAGCTAATTGCTAGACTCTGCTCATTAGCTCAGGGTGCTCTGGCCGGTTAATTGCTTCCCCTCTGGAAAGCTCCACGTGGTGACACACGAGGAGTCTGTGTCCCCACTGCACACCTGGGGAGGTTAACGAGGAGCAAATTCCCACCAGGGTCCTCAAAACGGCGCTTTGATCCTTGGGACAAGGGTTTATGCAAATTAACCCCGTCTCCTCCTTTTCGATTGGGTGCAAATAAAGGGGGTGGGTCTATGGGCTGAAGGTGCTTTATCATAGAAATCGCTGCAACCTCTACTGCCCCCTGCAGCACAGCACCCCCCAGCACCCGGCCATGACTGTCAGGACTCCTGGGTTCTCTCCCCGCTCTGGGAGGGGAGTGGGGGCTGGTGGGTTTGAGCAAGTGGGGCTGGGAGTCAGGACTCCTGGGTTCTCTGCCCAGCTCTGGGAGGGGAGTGGGGACTACTGGTTAGAGCAGGGACAGCTGGGAGCCAGGACTCCTGGGTTCTCTCCCCAGCTCTGCAGCATAAGGCCCAGCCTCACTCTCCCCCTTCTCTCTCCCCACAGCCCAGCGGGCTCCGAGTGCCCCAGGAGGTGACGCTGATGAAGCGGGTGTGTGCCAGGGGCGGGCACCGGGGCGTGATCCGCCTGCTGGACTGGTACGAAACCCCCGAGGGGTTCCTCCTGGTGCTGGAGCGGCCCGAGCCCTGCCAGGATCTCTTCGACTACGTGACGGAGCGGGGGCCTCTGGCTGAGGGGCAGTGCCGGCGCTTCTTCCGCCAGGTGCTGGAGGCCGTGCGGCACTGCCATGCCCGGGGGGTGGCGCATCGGGACATCAAGGACGAGAACATCCTGGTGGAGCTGCGCACCGGCCACCTCCAGCTCATCGACTTCGGCTCCGGCGCCCTCCTGCGGGACACGGTCTACACGGAGTTCGACGGTGAGGGGCCCGGACGCCTGGGTTCTCTCCCCACCTCTGGGAGGGGGTGGGGTGGGGGGGGTAGAGCTGGGAGCCCGGACGCCTGGGTTCTCTCCCCGCCTCTGGGAGGGGGTGTGGTGGGTAGAGCTGGGAGCCCGGACGCCTGGGTTCTCACCTGGCTCTGGGAGGCAGCACCACTAACCCCTGCGCCCCCTCCAGGCACCCGTGTGTACAGCCCGCCGGAGTGGGTGGGGCTGCAGCAATACCACGTGCTGCCGGCCGCCGTCTGGTCCCTGGGGGTCCTGCTCTACGACATGGCCTGTGGCGACGTCCCCTTCCAGCGTGACGAGGAGATCCTGGCCGCGCGGCTCCACTTCCCGGAGCCCCTGCCTGAGGGTGAGCGCCCCCCGCTGCCCCCCCCGCGCCCAGCGCTGCCCCCCGCCCCCCCGCTAGCCCCCCTGCCCTCCCGCTGGCCCCCCTGTGCCCCCTCCTGTGCCCAGCGCTGCCCCCGCTGGCCCCTCCTACCCCCCTA